AAAAGAAAAGAAAGAAAGAAAGAAAGAAAAAAAGAAAAGAAAAGAAAATGGAGATGATAAAAATCTTCCTTCTAGTGTCAGAGTGAAGATCAAGGAAGAGAATTCTAGAAAGCGCGTAGCACATAGTAGGTGTTCAAGAAATGCGAGTGTTTCCCTCTCTCCACTTGGAGGCAGAAGTGCATTTCTGTCACCACAAAGACATCTAAAGGCACGACAAACTCCGTGTGAATGCCGGTGATTTCTTTTTCCCAGTGGTCGCTCTGCAAAGCTAGATCACATTTACTCCAAGTTGCTGTTATTCATCCATTGCCATCCTCCTAACCTTCCAACCAGTCCTGTGCATCTGGGAACTACCCTGTGTTATAATGAAAAAGATATCACTCACGCCAACAAAGTCACTGTCATCAACTCTCGCCTAGGCAAAAAGCCTTTTGAAGAGAAGTGGCAAGGTCTCTCTATTTGCCTTTTTAAAAATCCCTCTGGTAGCAACCTGGCCTGCTAATTTTGAAGTTTACCTGGCACTGAGTTTCTCTTTGGCTCTCTCCCCTCTCCACAGCCCCTTCCGGTCCTTTATTCACCTCTCACCTGCATAGGAAGCCCTGGAACCTGGAACTCCCTCCCGGTTCTCACGCTTGCTGGGGAAGATAACTGGGTCTAATGGCGCTATTGACAAAGCCTGGTGTTGATGCCGCTTGACTTCCCGACCCCTGTGTTGATTCTTTCAGCTTCAAAAACGCCCTTGGAAGTGGTTTTACTGTAAATATTTGAAGTGTGCGTGTGGGGGAGGGGTGAGATCTGGGTGCTCACTCCGTGCCTCAGTCACTCACGGGAAGCCCTTTCCTCTCCACTTCCCAGGAGGCCCCGGCAGCAGGAGACCGTCTTTCCCCGCTCCTGCCCGGGGACTGGCCGGGGGTCGCAGCGGCAGGGCTTCCGAAGGATGACGGGCCCTACGGGTTTTTCAGGGCCGAGGTGTGTGGGCCTCGACTCCCGCAAGCCCACGGGCATCCCTCGGCAGCGAGGAAGAGCTTTGCCACCGAGGACCCGCTCCACTGAGCAAGCACGTGGGCGACGTCTGCAAGCCGACTTTGGTCCTGCAGGCCAGGGCGCCCATATCTGCCGTCTCCGCCTTGACTGTGGCAGGGGCTCCCAGCGAGGACTCGTGGAGGCCAAACTCACACTCACATGCGCGTTTACACCCCCACGTCCCCGCGCACACACCTGAAAATGCGGGGCCTTCCCAGTGCAGATAAGGTTCGACCTGCAGAGCTTTGGCCACGGGGACAAAACCCTCCCCTGCTGCGCCCTGGAGACCCGGGAGCAGGGAGGGCTTGGGAAACACACGGTCTTCAGTGCGCTGCCGTCGCCTCGCAAATCGGCCAGGTCTGCGCTCAGCATGGGCGCTCAGGAGCGTGGAACCACCGTGCTCCGCGAGGCAGACGTGGACCCACGCCAGCGCCGACAAGGAGGCCGGAAAGGACGCGCGCAGCTGGCTCCAGGGACCAACCAAGTCCGGAGGGGGCCAGGTGTCTCGGGAGCGGGTCTTGGGCCGCCGC